ACATTGAATTAAGTACATGAAAAGTTCGGCGTTTGAATCAATTAAGAACGGCTATTTGAATTTGGAACGGCCCAGCCGTTCTTCCCGCCTAGCTCAGCCGGGAATTTCGGCTTTGGAACGGCTTTGATTCAGACGTCGAACTTTTCATGAGCCGAACTTAATGCATAACTTATTATAACGTATTTTACAAGCAGTTTTTACTTTGCCTGAAAATCGCTGACATTTCGATGTGTTTTGGTTTAAACTAAATAAAGTTCGGCGAATTAAGTTCGGCTCATGAAAAGTTCGGCGTCTGAACTGGGCCTTAGTATCTTCCGAAGGCAAGTGTCTGCTGATTATTTCATTTGAAGCTGTTTTTGCATGGAATTCATCGTTCATTTATGTTGCATTTAGTTAGTTATTAAAAAAAAAAACAAAAAAAACCAGGCAAACTGCTGCGCTTTCTTCCGCTATATTGTGTAAGTGTCTGCCGAATATGTTAACGCCATAATTACAGGGAATTGGTAACTCATATTTGTTGTATATAGAGATCAAAGTCTTGTTTATCTTAAAGATTTGGGCAAACTGCTTTACTTTCTTCCGCTATACGGCGGTAACCGAAAATAGTTTACCCAAATATAAGTATTATCAATTTTTCTTGATCCATTAAAATACGCACATAAATTGTAAGTCTTCCCAATATCCCTGGCAATATTTGCTGCTACAAAACGAATGTAAAATTACCCTTTCGATTTTGAGAGTCATGTAGCTTCATTTTACGGCTAGCAATATTAATTTGCTTGCCTGTAAGCAAGACTTTTGGGTTTCTTGTGCACTTGAATTAAATGGAATTTAGATGTATTATTTTGCTAGCCGTTATCGGATGTCGAAAGAATCATCAAAATTGAGAAAATCATCAAAATTGTACATTTTATTCCGTGCATCAGTCTTTGTTGAAAAATTATCTGAGGAAAATCTGGTGGACTACAAGCTTGGAGCAGATTTTCACGCAAAATCTCGGTTGATCGATTCGAATCTAAGATAAAAACAAGCTTTGCGTCGATGGGAAAGAATAAGTCATTCAGTCGTCGAGACCTTTATTTACTCTACATAAGCATATACACATAAATGCGGTTCACTTATCGAATTTATTTCAATTTTGCCTAATGGAGAACTGTTGAAGCACTCGATAACAAAGTGTGTGGGGACCTTTATAATTTCCTTAACGCATAGTTCTTTTATGGTACAACATTTAGTGAAAACGTCGACCATATGCGGTTTTTAATAACGCAAATCTATTATTGCAAATGTTCAGTAAGTGAAATATAAATCAAATCTTTTTATGGAAAAAACACGTGACGTAAGTCTTTGCAGTAATCCCGTCAAAATGTGTACCTAATTGCAGGCTAACCGCGTAAGGTTGTCTTTTTCCACTAAAACTCTTTTAAGCTGACTTCGGGACTCCGACTCGACCCCATATATCAAAATATACCCTGCGAGAAGTTCCCTTCTATTTCTGCCCGGTGGGAGAAGAGCGGAGAACTTCTGCTCGCACCTGCGCTCGATTTTCTATCATACGTGCACCAACTACGTCAGCATGTGGCATGTGTCTGGCTGTTTCATAAGAAACGTATATGCGCAATTATTTTTTTTAGTTATTTTGGGTTCCGACTTAAATTCCGACTTTTTCACCGTTTATTTGCTAGAGAAACTACAGAAATTCGATTAAGCTCTA